ATCTGACCGTGATTAAATGCCTTAAATGCCCTAAGCTTCCGGGGACTCTGCCCCCTGGATTTCACCTAGGGCCCAAAGTCAGGCAACTGGATGCTCATCTGACGGTAATTTAATACTTAAAACCCCTGAGCTTCTGGGGGCTCCGCCTCTGGACCCAACACCAACTTATGTCCTGCCAGTGTCACAAGTAAGGTATCAAAATAAGCTCATCTGGCCGTAATTTATGGCCCCAAACCCCTGAGAAACGTTCCGCTCTCTCACTCTCTTCTCCATCTCTCTTTCACTCTCTTCTCTCTCTCTCTTTCTTTCTCTTTCACTAACTTTCACTCTATTCTTCCTCTCTCTCTCCCTTTCTCTATCACTAACTCTCACTCTCTTCTCCCTCTCTCTCCCCTTCTCTTTCACTCTCTTCTCCCTTTCTCTTTCACGAACTTTTACTCTCTCTCTCCCTTTCTCGTTCACTAATTTTCACTCTCTTCTCCCTCTCTCTATCTCATTAACTCTCTTCTCCCTTTCTTTTTCACTCTCTTCTCCCTTTCTCTTTCACTAACTTTTACTCTCTCTCTCCCTCTCTCTATCACTAACTTTCACTCTCTTCTCCCTCTCTCTCTCTCCCTTTATCTTTCACTAACTTTCACTCTCTCTCTCCCTTTCTCTTTCACTAACTTTCACTCTCTTCTCCCTCTCTCTATCACTAAATTTCACTCTCTTCTCCCTCTCTCTCTCCCTTTCTCTTTCACTAACTTTCACTCTCTTCTCCCTTTCACTAACTTTCACTCTCTTTCTCTTTCACTAACTTTCACTCTCTCTCTCGTTCACTCTTATCTATCTTCTTGGTCTCTAATCATCTTTATCTGATTCCTCCACTATTCCAGATCTGTCAAATTTCTGCCGTCTCTCTCTTCTCATTCTCTTTACAATAATTGATGGGTTCTCCCTCTCTCTTCCCCCTTTCTCCTGGTGTCTTTCACTATTTTGTTCTTTCTCCCTCTCAATCTTTCCATCCTCTTCATTACCCTTAATATTGTCTTCTCTCTCCGTCTCTCTAGCTCATGTTTTATTCCTCCATAATTCTGTTTATATTTGTCCCGGTATATCTCCCTTATTTCTGATCCCCTTTTCTCTTCAGTCTCTCTCTCTACAATTATCAATGTTTCTTATCTCTTTTTATCACCCTATGACCGTCTCTAGTGCTCGATCTCTACCCGCCTCCATCATCACAATATCACTCATTTATCATTGTATGATCTCTATTTGCCCCCTCACCTCCTCTTCCTTCATCGTCAGTCTTCATATCTCTATTCATCAATCCGTCTCCCTTCCCTTTCTCTTCTCTCTCGTTCTTTCTCTATCTTCTCCGATCATTTAGTCTCCCTCCGAAGTCATCTAGCTATCACCGTTTCCCATGCCCTGTCCCTGGCTATTATTTTTGTTTCCTCTCTTTTTAAATTCTCGTTTGCTTTTCTAAGCATCTCCCTTTTCTCCTCTGTATTTTTGTTCTCTCGCTCACTCCCTTTTAAACTTAATGTGCATCTGTTTATCTCACCTCTCTCTCTCCCTGCCCCCCTCTATTCTCTCTCTCTCTCTTATCGTCTTCCCATTTTTCTCCTACATTTCACATCAGACAAAGAGATCAGAGATAAATAAGGTATATCTAGATCTTCCTTTTTTTTATTCAATTTAGGATCATGACTGCTTATGACATGCACATCAAGAGGCCATTTCTGTCATTTACACCAAATTTATGATGCCTTTTTGAAGCGCCTCGATACAAATTAGTTCATTCACCTGTTACGAATCAAATGTATCCCGATAGTCAGAATTCAAATTGCATACATTAGTTGTTGCTAGGTAGGACAAATATACAAACAGGTAATATATGCAATTAACATTCTAATGCATGCGTTATATCATGCAAAATAAGGTTGTTATATTGCGAGGTTGTGCAAATATAACAAAATGTTGAGTGTCACGTGACACCGTTTCACCTACAAATACAATAGGGACTTTTAGATTTGCGTGGACTGATACGTGTGACGTCCATTCAAGGCAGTGCATTAAAAGGACGTCGACCGTAGCAATCCACATTGTCTTCGTGCAAAACTAAAAGTCCCTACCATCATCAAACTACAACTTGCAAGTTCTTTTGTCTTCTTAGTACATCAAAGTTTTAAAAATCTAATGCACTGCAAACTTCATTTCAGTAATTCATGATCCAATATACATAGAAAGACCCGTTTATTACATCCTTTTTCATGACATAATTCAGAATGAACTCACAGATCTGAGCGATTCGCATTGTATATTATGAAAATCAGACATCATTTAATCAGAAGAGGATGGTGATCAAAAGGCAAGGTAACGGAATGCTCATAAGAGTAGTGTCTATGTACGTTTGTTATAAGCCAATCAATAATGCAAAGTTTGCAAACTTACTAAAATATAAAACGTATGGCAAACATATACAAGTTCAAAATATACATGTATCATACTATTGCATAATCATAATCATAATGATACAAAGAAAAGCCTGGAATACGTATCATCACAATTATTGAAATCCAGTACTGAATACAGTTAGAATATTCATGAGTCTGATAACTGATAACACAGGCATGTTACATTGACAAAAGAGACATGTATCTTAATATTATAGCAGCATATTTACATATACACTGGAGTGATATAAAAAAATCCTGGAATATATTTCCTCAGATGGATTTTAAAATCTAGATCTGGATGTAGCTCTCAATTTACAAACAACAATTAGTGTCACATAAAAAATCACACTGATAACTCAGACCTATGACATGCACCCTTTAAAGCTAGTTCTCAAGTATACTGAGTTCTATCTAGTTCGCTGACATGATAACTAGAGCAATGTGGCTCTTAACATCTGAATCATTTCTGGTAACAAATTCACAAGTTTATTTAGATTCTACCTAATTATATTTGTATTGAAGGCATTGATCCACATTTGCAACTCTCCACCCAGGTATAAATGGGCCCCTGCCTAGGACCAGGGTAGTAATGTTTGAGCGCCAGGAGTGTCGTGGCATGACAGCGTGTGCACTATATCAGAAGCAACTGTTATTATCATTATAACTACTAGTCCCCGTGGTTGTCACAGGCATAATGCATGATCATAGCAGAGTAAAAATGACCCCCTATTCAAAGTATTTTCAAAACATTTTCAAGAAAAACATGACCCCTTTTTACATAAAACAGGTGCACAATGGGCTCTCGATACAACTCTGTTTTGGGCTTATTGAGTAGACATTCATAGCATGTCGGATAATTTTGCATCACTTTCTACATATGCCTTTCACATAATTGTGAACATTGTGACAATATTAAGTTCTCTTTCTCATAAGATTTATACACTAACACCACATAGTGGACTGTACTCATAAAGGTGAAAAAGAAGAACATAGCCTTTTTACAAATATTCAAATATTTGCAAACATTGCCAAAAATTATCCCCTTTTACCCCTCGTTTCCTGCAATTACTCCAGGGCTTGAAACCAACAGGCTAGCCAGAACACATGGACATCCAAAATCTAGGTCTAGACCCCCCAAATTTGGATGTTTTTACTTGGGGCTCATGCAAGCCTCAGACTGTAAAAAGTTCAATCTGAACCTTTAAAAAACAGTTAGTGTGGATCCCTGTATCATGCATACACAAAGTCAAGATGAAGTGTTACCACTGGGACACTGTCTTACTCTACTGATACCATAGCAACTAGAACCCATACTCTGATTGCTTTTCTAGAATTTCAGGATCATCCTGTGGAGCTCTTGACTGAGTAGAAGGAGCTTGCCTCTTGTAAGGCCTGCTCCGACTACTGCTACATTCTCTGTGAGTCTGAGAGACTTGAAATACAGTATCTGATGTATTGCCAACATGCTGTTGAGGGCGGTCTAATGAAGGTAATGTCCTTCTTGAATAGTGTACATCACCCATGGGTTGTTGTTGAGGGTGGTCTGATGGTGGTAATGTCCTTCTTGGATAGTGTACATCATCCATACGTTGCTGTTGAGGGTGGTCTGATGGTGGTAATGTCCTTCTTGGATAGTGTACATCATTTATAGGTTGCTGTTGAGGCTGGTCTGATGGTCGTAATGTCCTTCTTGGATAGCGTACATCATCCATGTGTTGCTGCTGAGGGTGGTCTGATGGTAATGCCCTTCTTGGATAGTGTACATCATCCATGTGTTGCTGCTGAGGGTGGTCTGATGGTAATGTCCTTCTTGGATAGTGTTCATCACCCATACGTTGCTGTTGAGGGTGGTCTGATGGTGGTAATGTCCTTCTTGGATAGTGTACATCATCCATAGGTTGCTGTTGAGGCTGGTCTGATGGTCGTAATGTCCTTCTTGGATAGCGTACATCATCCATGTGTTGCTGCTGAGGGTGGTCTGATGGTAATGCCCTTCTTGGATAGTGTACATCATCCATACGTTGCTGTTGAGGGTGGTCTGATGGTCGTAATGTCCTTCTTGGATAGTGTACATCATCCATGTGTTGCTGCTGAGGGTGGTCTGATGGTAATGTCCTTCTTGGATAGTGTACATCATCCATGTGTTGCTGCTGAGGGTGGTCTGATGGTAATGTCCTTCTTGGATAGTGTTCATCACCCATGTGTTGCTGCTGAGGGTGGTCTGATGGTAATGTCCTTCTTGGATAGTGTACATCATCCATGTGTTGCTGCTGAGGGTGGTCTGATGGTAATGTCCTTCTTGGATAGTGTTCATCACCCATGTGTTGCTGCTGAGGGTGGTCTGATGGTAATGTCCTTCTTGGATAGTGTAAATCATCCATGTGTTGCTGCTGAGGGTGGTCTGATGGTAATGTCCTTCTGGGATAGTGTACATCATCCATGTGTTGCTGCTGAGGGTGGTCTGATGGTGGTAATGTCCTTCTTTGATACTGTACATCATCCATACGTTGCTGTTGAGGGTGGTCTGATGGTGGTAATGTCCTTCTTGGATAGTGTTCATCACCCATGTGTTGCTGTTGAGGGGGTCTGATGGTGGTAATGTCCTTCTTGGATAGCGTACATCATCCATGTGTTGCTGCTGAGGGTGGTCTGATGGTAATGTCCTTCTTGGATAGTGTACATCATCCATAGGTTGCTGTTGAGGCTGGTCTGATGGTCGTAATGTCCTTCTTGGATAGCGTACATCATCCATGTGTTGCTGCTGAGGGTGGTCTGATGGTAATGTCCTTCTTGGATAGTGTACATCATCCATAGATTGCTGTTGAGGCTGGTCTGATGGTAATGTCCTTCTTGGATAGTGTACATCATCCATGTGTTGGTGCTGAGGGTGGTCTGATGGTAATGCCCTTCTTGGATAGTGTACATCATCCATAGGTTGCTGTTGAGGCTGGTCTGATGGTAATGTCCTTCTTGGATAGTGTACATCATCCATGTGTTGCTGCTGAGGCTGGTCTGATGGTGGTATTGTCCTTCTTGGATAGTGTACTTCACCAATGTGTTGCTGCTGAGGGTTGTCTGATGGTGGTATTGTCCTGCTTGGAGAGTCACTTGGGCAGTCCGAGCTGTTAAGGAAATATATTTTTTTCTTATTATCTGTTTAAAAGATGAGAAATAAAATATCAACTACTATTTTTATTGCTGAAAGTACCTGTCTCAAGAAACATTTTGATCAGTGAATGAAGAAAAAAATAGAAGCGACTACAGCTTAACAAAAATATCAAGAAAACACACACACACACAAAACAGGAACACAACAAAATCTATAAATGTAAGGTTGAAAGCACTTTGCAGTAGGGAACTAGTTTGATAAGGCTGTTACTGAATACTTTGTTATTTCAAACAAGAAATCTTAAATTATTTTAAAGTAGCCATTCCATAAAAATTCAACTATATATCAATGGAAAGCTTATGACCTCAGGGATTTTGAAAATATTATTTCAGATTTTTGTATAAAGTCGTTCAAAAAAAATCAAACAAAAACTTATCATTCATTTTCTCACCCAAATCAAACCAATAAAACGCCCAAAATAATGTGACGTAGGGGATTGTAGCATGTCCCCAAAACATAAACAAAAGCTCCTGACCACTACATGGAGTCTATGGCTTTTGCTGTATAAGTTTGTTGCTTGCTTTGATTGTTTTTCATGTATGTTCTTTGAATTTGTATTTGTATTTGTATTTATTAACATTTATTTCCTTCTCAACAGCACAATATAAAACACAATGTATATATACATGATATATGTAACAATTATTTCAACATAGAGTATACAGTAATTAATTCAGATACGGAAGGAGGCGAAAAAAGATTAACTAAAAAAGAAGGATAATGTTGCTGATTGTTTTGCTCAGTGTTTGTTTTGTATTATGGTCAGTGGAGGCTTCTTGAAACAAATTTCACAACAATTTTTGTTGTAAATATTTTAGCCTTTTTATCGATGAAAATTACTCCTAACACTCGTCTTCTCCATTGACTTCTGATTACAATCTCTGCCATCTAGTCTTGTAAGCGAGTTCATAATTTGCGATGGTGCATTACGTTAGTGGAATCTACCCACTCATGATCAAACACAGTCCACATGCACACAGACACGCATTTCTAATTCAGACATTACAATAATTTGAAAACTGGGCCGCTGATAGCAACAATATCATCGTCACTGGATTCAGACGATGAATACTGTAGATCCAAGCTACTGTCTGGCCTAATTTCACTCATTTTATGTAATAATAAATCATTAAAATCGACAATAATATGGCTGCTATCGATCGTCTAGTGTGTATTGATATGGCATTGCTTCAATCACCTATGTATCATCGAAGCCGCCCCATTTGTATGATTTCGGTTTCGTTTATAGGGGATGCCAAAATTCAATGTTAAATGTCTGATTGTGGTCACATATGTATTTTAGGGAAAAGATATGAGACATTTCACTTTCATTAGATCATGAGTTTTCATTTGACATGCAATGTCTATTTTCATCAATGTCTACTTTATTGCATGCTCTTTGCTGGGGTATCACCATTGTATATTTTCAAAACTATTTTATTAGACTAGAGGCTCTTTATAATGTTTCTGTATCACTCAATTAATAACAAGTCTACATGCTGTTATCTGAAAATTAATTTTTCAAACAAAAAATACTGTACTGACCTAAGCAAAAATGTGAGGGATGAAGAAATGAGTTCAAGTCATCTTGAGCTGTAACTGGATATTCACTTCTGACGGACAAGAAATCTTACATAGTTGGGGTGTAAATCATAATATTTTTTCTAATCGCCAATTTGGTTTTAGGGAAAACATAATACTGTTCATGCATTATTGTCTTTTATTGAGAAGGCAGCTCATGCCATCAACAAATCTTCTCATATGGTTGGCATTTTCCTACACTTCTCCAAGGCCTTTGACAAAATTAACCAAGATATTTTACTTTATAAAATTTCACATTATGGTGTATATGGGATGGCCTTGGTGTGGTTCAGGAGTTATCTTTCGGATGGGAAGCAGTATGTATTTTTAGATGACAACTCTTCAACTCGTATATATTAATGACTTTTGTTGATTATCTGATATTGTCCTTTGTACTCCTTGCTAATGAAACAATTTCATTTTTTTCTCACAATGACTTTCAAAGATTAGATGAAATAATTAATATATTGAAATTTGTAATACACTGTCGCTCATAAAGGTGGAATATTTTTTTTTTACCCCAATTTATGGAATTATTTTAAAAATAATTTAAAAATAATAGATCTATATAATGGTATACATTCTCAGATGTTATTGAATAATAATTTGCCAATGTGTGTTTTGCGTGACTGCTAAAGCATGTGTATGCTACTATGCTTATCAACTAGGGGACATACGCCCTTAAGTCATAAATGACAGTAATGAGGATTAATGCCCCACAAAAGGGCACTAATATAGCACATCGACACGGTTTTGATCCTGGGGCCTCACAGTTACGAGGCCATTGCTTTGTCACTGAACCATGACTGTATGCAGCGGGGGCTAGGGTGGGGAGCACTTTCCATAATTAAAATAAAAGACAGAAAATGCAATAAAATTTCAATAATTTATTGCATTTTACCCCGGTCCCCAACATAAAGAAATCCTCCCGACGGCCATGCATTATGGCTCGAGGCATGGGCACACAGAAGATTTTGTTATGTTGGGCACCTCTCACTTTAATACTTTTACGCAAGTCAATTTTTTGCCCTTTCGCAAACAATGCCTCATTTACATCCAAGCGTGAACACATACAACACAAAAATGATACCAAACGATTTGGGAAATAACACTCTTTCAATACATGTATGATAACCTTTCGTTAATAGCTGAAATTAAAAATAAATGACAATTTTCTGTGTAAACTTTTTTTGAATCACATGGTATAGCACCAATCGTAAAAAGTTTGCTGTTATCTGAATTTTAATTTTTTAAATCAAATATACTGTACTGACCTTTGTGAACATGTGAGGGCATGAAGAAATGAGTCCAAGTCACCTTGAGCAACTCCATTGAACCTGAAGTTTCCCTTCTTGATCTGAGGAAAACAACCCTGTAACATATAACAGCAACATTACTTGTAAACCTTATTTCATTTACAATTAAAGTGGATCTATTTCATTCTGGCATATAATATCTTTTGTAGGGAAATATAACATCCCATAAACAACATGAAAATAAGAAGGAACTAGATGGAATTTTGACTGCGCGCAGTCGAAAATGATGCCTCCCCCATAGAGCAATTTAAACAAGTTTGGAGTTTAAATCTCCAGTGGTTCTTGAGATATCATGATAACAATCTCAATGTATGGAATTTCATAAGTTGACCTCTGTGACCCTTGACCTTTGACCTACGTGCTCCAAAATCTAATCAGATTGTCTTCCTATGGGGATACACACTATCATTAAGTTTGAAGTTTAAATCTCCAGTGGTTCTTGAGATATTATGATATGGTGATACATACTATCATTAAGTTTGAAGTGAAAATTCTCCAGTGGTTCTTGAGATATCGCGATAACGATCTCAATGTATGGAATTTCATAAGTTGACCTCTGTGACCCTTGACCTTTGACCTACGTGCTCCAAAATCTAATCAGATTGTCTTCCTATGGTGATACACACTATCATTAAGTTTGAAGTTTAAATCTCCAGTGGTTCTTGAGATATTATGATATGGTGATACATACTATCATTAAGTTTGAAGTGAAAATTCTCCAGTGGTTCTTGAGATATCGCGATAACGATCTCAATGTATGGAATTTCATAAGTTGACCTCTGTGACCCTTGACCTTTGACCTACGTGCTCCAAAATCTAATCAGATTGTCTTCCTATGGTGATACACACTATCATTAAGTTTGAAGTTTAAATCTCCAGTGGTTCTTGAGATATTATGATATGGTGATACATACTATCATTAAGTTTGAAGTGAAAATTCTCCAGTGGTTCTTGAGATATCGCGATAACGATCTCAATGTATGGAATTTCATAAGTTGACCTCTGTGACCCTTGACCTTTGACCTACGTGCTCCAAAATCTAATCAGATTGTCTTCCTATGGTGATACACACTATCATTAAGTTTGAAGTTTAAATCTCCAGTGGTTCTTGAGATATTATGATAACAATCTCAATGTATGGAATTTCATAAGTTGACCTCTGTGACCCTTGACCTTTGACCTACGTGCTCCAAAATCTAATCAGATCGTCTTCCTATGATGATACATACTATCCTTAAGTTTGAAGTTTAAATCTCAAATGGTTCTTGAGATATCGCGCTAACAAACTCAATACAAGGAATTTCATAAGTTGACCTCTGTGACCTGTGACCTTTGACCTACGTACTCCAAAATCTAATCAGATTGTCTTCCTATGGTGATAAATACTATTCCCGAGTCTTAAGTTTAAATCTTAAATGGTTCTTGAGATATTGTGATAACGGTCAAACGGGACGGACGTACGGACGGACAACCCGAAAACACGATGCCTCCGGCACCACCTTCGGTGGCGGAGGCATAAAAAGGAGGATGGAGAATTTTAAAAGCTAGAGTAAGAAAGAAATTGATCCAATATATTATTGCAATGTCATGAAAATAGCTGTAATAATAAGAGTCTGTGGTAGTTTTACTGTAGTAGATGTAGTACTTAGTAGTATCCACTATATGGCAGTTGTTATTGAATTATGATATTGACATCAAGTGAAAGAAACAAATACGTGTTGGTACCTTTTCTCATACTATTAGGGGATCAGAGAACAACAACAGAGACCAGACGAGCTTTACTTTCACTATTCAACCCTAAAAGTTGTACTAAAGTGCAAAAAATTCAAAAGAGGGCCGCAAGAATAATATTGAACAAGACATATGACACACCATCGGCTGATTTGTTCACAAGTAAATGGATGTCACTAGACAAATGGTTTGAGTTTAGTTGCGTTATGATGATATATAAATGTGTTAATAACTGAGCACCTTCTTACCTTCAGGTAGGCTTAATCAATCCTAATGATGTACATGAGCATCATACAAGGCAATTAGACAGTGGATGTTTACGTGTGCCTAGGTTTCACACTGATTGTTATAAGTGTAGCCCAATTGTTTTTTCCATATTTGAATGGAATAAGTTAGATAATTCGATGAGAATGGCTTCCTCTGTCGA